ATGATGGGAAGACATAGCTGTTTTCTTCATGATACTTTTATTTAATATCCATAATTCTTGCCTAGGGCAAATAATGTGATAGTAGCTATCATTTAGTAATTTCATAATTGTCTAAAACTTAAATGTATGTCTTTAAGAGATAAAGATTTAAAGATAACACTCCAATGCCTTCATATTATTTAAAACCAAAGGGCTTGTTTAAGATAGCCAAGCATTACTTTGTCTCATTTTATTTAAGAAAAGGTTTTATTTTTAGATAATTTTAGATTTACAGAAGAATTTCAAAAGCAGCACAAAAGCTTGTTATAGATCATCAGTGTGTTGAATAATATGTGGCTCACATGGAAAAGCTTGATATTTTAAAATGATTTTTAAAAATTTATTTTTTAACCATGTGTCTGTGTGTGGATGTATGTATATGTGAGCGCTGGTACTCACAGAGTCCAGAAGAGGATGTTGGATTCCTTGAAACTGTAGTTAAAGCCCAACATGAGTGTTGTAAACTCAAGTCTTGTACTCTGTAAGAGTAGTATATGCTCTTAGCCACTGAGGCATCTCTCCAGCTCTTGATGAGCATGATTTTGGTTTTGTTATTTTTACTGTATGGATTTCTAACCTGTAGACAAGTTGACTTTGTATTTTATCAACTTGACAAAGTAAAATGCTAGCTCTAAAAATATTTTTCATTAGTATTTTGGAGTTTTTGATTTAGATAATCAAGTTATCTGTTAATGGAGACATTTTAATTGCTTCCTTTTTGATTCATTGGCCTAGATTTATATTTCTTTATTGCAAGGGCTAGTATTCATTTGGTGTGGAAATTTAATAATTATATAATGCTGAATAGAAGTCATGGAAGAACATTGTTTAATAAGAAAACATTGGGATTTCTAATCACTCCATATACTTGCTTCCTCCTTTTCCTGATACATTGTAAATTGTGTTGCATATTGATCAATCTTCAAGTATTCAACTAGCATTCCCAACACAAATTCCAATTGGTTGTGAGGAGTTATCTTTAATTTTTTAAGAAAAATTCTACATGTATGTATGTATGTTTTGCCTACATGTATGTCTGTGTACCACATGAGTGCCTAAGGAAGCCTGAAGAAAGAGTTGGGTTCCCTAGGACTAGAGTTATGACTGCTGTGAGCTTCCACATGAGAATCGGACCCTGGCCCTTGGAAACAACAGCCAATGCTCTGAGACATCATTCAGGCACCAGAACTATTTATCCCTTAAAAAGTAATATCATAACATCACAATCATTTTAGCTAAACTCTTCTTGCAGGTGTCTATCCAGTTTTGTCTACCCCAGGCTATTGGTTTCCCCTCCCCTTCTTCCCCTTCTCCTCTCCTCATTTTCCCTGTCTTCTTCTCCCCTCCTCTCCATATCAATAGCTCTTCCTCCTGGTGTTTTGGTGCAATCAATCATTTGCCCTCAGATATCAGTTCTCCAATTTGAGAAGCTGAACACTTGCTGTGTTTGACCTTACTGTTTTGCTGTTGGCATAAGGGTGAGAAAAGTGGTCTGTCCAGTGTTTTATCTGAGTGGAACTGGAGGTTCCTTAATTGTTTTTCAATTGAGTCAGAATCCAAATCAGATTTGCTGATATACCACTTACATCTTTGATTCAGTTTCTCCTCTTTGTCCTTTTGTATCCATGCCTTTCTTTCCTTTTTCCCCCCTGTTATTGTTGTCAAAAACATGAGGGTTGTCTACATGAGAGTTTACCACAGTTTGAACTTGCTATTTTGGTGCCTGTGGTTAGTTTAAAATGGGCCTCTGTTCCCTGTATTTTCTGTGAGTCAATAGTTAGGTCTCCAGGCTTCATGAGAGTCAGGTTCCTTTTTCTTTGATAAATCATAATTTAGATGTATTACTTACTGGCCATTGATAATCTGTGTTTAGCCTCACTATGACACTTTCTTTTCTTTTATGGATGCTGAAGATGAAGCTCATAGAAGTAACGTGATTTTTGCCAAGACACAACAGCTAGTCTATAATCAATGCTGTATTCAGACCTGTAACTGCCTTGCAATGCAGGTCCACCATGTACACCACAGCACCCTGTTCCTGCAGACACTGCATTATTGAGCCTTAGAACATCAATGCCTGATTCCTATGAATATGAGGCATGCTGCATTAGTCAGGGTTCTTTAATGGAGCAAAACTAGTAGAATGAATATATGTATATGTGGTCTATGTAGTCCAGCAATGGCTGCCTGGTGATGGTATCTCATAGTTGTTCAGTCCACAAGACTGTATGTCTCAGCAGTCCCAATGTAGCTGGAATCCTGGAGGATTCCTGGAGAGCTGCTGATCATCAGTCTATGTTGGAATCCTGAAGAAGTTGGATTTAATTGTAGTCACAGCAATAGGGTAGACAAACTGGCCAGCAAGAGCGAGGGCAAGCAGGCAAAAGCAAATTTTCCTTCTTCCATGCCCTTTTATCTGGGCTGCCACCAGGTGTGGTCAAGATTTCCAGTGGGTTTTCTTGTTTCAAGTAATCTGATTAAGAAAATCCTTCACAGGACGGCTGCGTGATGGTGGCACACACCTTTAATCTCAGCACTTGGGAGGCAGAGGCAGGCGAATCTCTGTGAGTTTGAGGCCAGGCTGGTCTACAAAGTTACACAGAGAAATCCTGCCTCAAAAATGCAAAAAAAAAAAAAAGAAAGAAGAAAATTCTTTACAGGCATATCCAGCAGTTTGGGTTTTAGTTTATTCCAGAAGCAGTCAATGAGTTGACTTACCACACGTACTTAACTCTTTTAGGAACAGATGAATTATTTGAATTCCGTTCTTCTTGGAGGCATAGGGCAGTAACAAGTGACCTTTAAATTGTTTTCCCCTTCAAACTCTAAACCATGATCATTTCTGTGTGTACAGTTAAGATTGTTCTTGCCAGTTCACTGCCTGGGAGGACACCTGAGCTCAATTCAGAACCTTGAGCACATTTGGGTTTCGGGAGCCCCTCTAGTGCTTCTGGAGAAAAGATACAAGATAAATAAGGCCACTGAAATTTCTCTGTAGCAGAGAAATAGGGGGAGAGTGAGAGAAAGGGGTGGAAAGGAGGAGAGAGAGGATTGGTTTTTATCTTCCACTTACATTTTTCATGAGACTTTTATCTAAGGTGATATAGTGTCTCTCTTTGTGGCCAAACAATTCCATGAATTATGGGTTAGAGTTCAGTGGAGACATTTCAAGAAAAAAGACACGTTTAACTCTATAAAAATAAATTTGTCACGTTCAAGCGAACCAAGGACAGACATCTGTCTTGACCAGAGTGTTCATTTTTCAACGTAACTGGCGGTACTCAGGTGCCAATCCTGTATCACCCGATGCAGATTATCATGTCCCTGAACTTATTTTCTAAAAGAGGACATGGACTTCCTGCCCTGCAGATATTTCTTAGGTACTCTGTTTGTGAAATGTATAATGTAGACATTATTATTGGAAGAGCTCTAAGGCTGGCAAGTGCTTGCCATACACAGAAAGAACTGACTCCATGATGTTTCTCCTGACTCCAAGATGCAAGCTGTGTCACACACTCATGCACTCACATTGTAGATGCACAAAATAGTAAATAAAAGGTTTAAATGGCTTTAAATCTATTTCAAATACAGTTTTCGCAGTAAGTGGAGATGAAATCTGCCTTGTAACCATGGAGTTCTGGGATTCTTCAGCAGAGGAAAGGATTGGGATCTCTGCTTCTTCACAGTGTGTGTGAGTCAGGGCACATGGAGGTTCTGAGTTCCTGCTGCCATCAGGAGAGAATGGAGCAGAAACAGGATCTAGGGTCCATCAGAAGGAGTGGGAAGAACAAATGTTGGTAGGAAACCCAGGAGCCTTTGGAATATTTTGGCAGGAAGGAGTACCAGTCTCCAGTCCAGCTCATGTTGGTGACATGACTTGCACAAAATTAGGAGATTTCTAGTGGCCAAGTGGATTCTGAAGTTATGGCTCTTCTACCCTGTATCATGAGTTTCTCTTACCCTGGTATCTAAATACAGAAGACCTGGATTCTGAAGTCGACTGTGTCTGTGACCTTGGCATAGGATTGTCACCAAGCTTGTTGATTCACAATGTATGTGAATGAAACAGGGTAGTGTATGTGGAAACCCCTTTCAAGAAGTAAAGCACTTGCAAAAGTGGTTACATCTGTGGAAGCAAACTGAGTTTTATTAGACCATTAGCCCTTTAAGGAATTTTTGTATGTTGCTGCATGCATGTGTGTACATGCATGTGAGCTGCATGGAGGCTAGAAGCTGGTGTCTGATATCTTTGTTCTACTCTTGACCTTAAGTTTTGAGACAAGGTTTCTAACTAGTCCTGGAGCTTGCTAATTCAGCTAGACTGGCTGATCAGCAGGCTCCAAGCATCCTCCTACCTGATTCTCCATCATTGTCATTACAGATGCACATCTGGCATTTTCTGTGGGTACTGGAAATCCAAACTCAGGTCCTCCGGCCTGTGCAGCAAGCAGCCTATGAAGTGAGCCATTTCCCAACCCCAGAAAACTTCACAGTAGATCAATTCTTGTCCTCTCTCCTAAAAAATTATACAGGGATTCAAAGCCTATTAATACATTGTAAAATAATGATTGATGTGGTAGTCAATCACAAGCTCAATGAGAGTACCCTGAAGGATCATAGGAGGGTCTGGGAAGAGCCTGACTCCAGCAAGTTGCCTGCAGCATTATGCAGGTGCCTCCTAGCATCTCTTTCCTACTGCTGCTACAAAAGAGGACAGTTAATAAATTGTGCTAATGTCGATGGGAGTGTTCACCAGGGATGCTTGGAAAGAGTAATCTTCACATTTAGAAGTATTTTCTCATTATGGATAATGGGATGATGAGATGAAAAATGATCTTGGCTACTTATGATCCTAAGGAGCCTTCAGCCTGAATAATCTATGGAGAATCAGACATAATGGCAGCAAAGAAGTAACTCATTTGCTACAAGGTCCGTGTAGTTATTTAATCACTTTTCTTATCATATAAATACGTGGTCCCATGCAAAGTGGCAGGAAGATACCAATGGCATAAATTGTAGATGTGTGGAGGTGGCTTGGCAAATGCTGTGAAGGCAGAGCTTTGTTCCAGACAGCTCTGTGATGGAGCCCATGCTCCTTCCTTACGGTGCAAGCTTTGCAGAATAGAGGCACTGGAATCCTTCACTTTGTCCTTAGGCTATTTACCATTATGAAACAGGGATGTATGAAATTGCCAAGACAAACTTGGATCCTGTTTGGGCTTAAAAGAGATCATTAGAGTGAACAAAGCTTTAAGAGACTACTAGAATATGAAGTTATTGTTACTTTACTTTAAAATTTTAGATAATTTAGGCCAAAGAATAAAATGAATATGATTAGCCACATATGATAGACCTATCTATCATAAAAAGTAACCATGGAGATGGGACAGGGACAAAAATGCCCCATCTGGGTTTTGATCTCAGCTGAAAAAATGTTAGCACAAAGACCACAGCGTGTTCAACTCTTGTTACAGATGCCAGGGACTCTAGGAGAGCAGAGTGAGGGGGATGCAGGAACAGACTCAGCATCTGCAATGTTCTGACAAGCTGGTCAAGGATAGGGCTAGAAGTGAATAGATGTAAAAGGAGGAGTGGGGCCAGTGAGATGGCTCAGTAGTTGGTGCCAAAGCCTGACTACTTGAGTTTGATCGCAAATTCCAAATGATAGAGGGAGAGAACTGACTCCCTTGGATTGTCCTCTGTTCTGTGCACATGCACCCCCCCCTCTCCCTCTCCCTCTCCCTCCCTCCCTCCCTCCCTCCCTCCCTCCCTCTCTTTCTCCCTCCCTCCCTCCCTCCCTCTCTCTCTCTCCTCTCTCTCTCTCTGTCTCTCTCTGTCTCTGTCTCTGTCTCTGTCTCTGTCTCTGTCTCTGTCTCTGTCTCTCTCTCTCTCTCTCTCTCTCTCTCTCTTTCTCTCTGAATGCACCAAAAAAGTGGATTGGTCTTAGTGCTGTATTCTGGCCCTTCTTGGACCTCCAGGATTTTCAGTAACTCAAACTGGGGTTGTACTAGTTTCTTTTTCTCAACAAGATCAATTGAAGCAAAGAAAAGGCTTAATCTGGCCTACAATTTCAGGGTACATCATGGCAGGGGGTAATGGCGGGATGAGCTGGAGGCAGTTGGTGTTCCATTCACTTTCTCCTTTTTATTCTTCAGTCCAGGCTGCAAGCCAAGGAAATACTGCTGCTCAAATTCATTATGCCTTGCTTTCTCAGTTACTCCAGTATAGACAAACCCTCATAGACATATCCTGAGGCTTATCCCTGATGTGAGTCTAGACTCTGTCAAGTTCACAGTATTAACCCTTATAGGGATTGTGCTAAAAAATAAACATATGAACATGTCTTGACACAGAAGACCCCAGTAGTCAGTATCACGTAGCCATGGAATCAAATCAAGTTTGGTTAGATCCACTGACTGACATTCCTTGGTGAGTTTCACACTAGATCAAGTCTTGCCCTCTTTTCCAAAAAGTATGTTTGTAAACCCAATGTCCATTAAAATATTGTGTATTAAGGGGTGGTCAGCCTCTTTAGCAGGAGCATCCTGAGGGGCCATGGGGTGGTGAGGAAAGCCTCTGCTCTCGATATCACTAAATGTGATGAAGTAAGTATTCCCCCATTAAGAGAGCTGTAATCACCACCATCCCCCTTGCTCAGAGCTGCTCCCATCATGAACTGAGGCAGCAAAGGGATCTTGATTTGGGATAATGCTCTGGTTCACTATAATCGTATAATAAAATGCTGATTGACCAGTAGCCAGGCAGGAAGTACAGGCAGGGCTACCAGACTAGGAGAATTCTAGGAAGAGGAAAGGCAGAGAAGGAGTCTCTAGCCAGATGTAGAGGAAGCAAGATAAAAATGCCTTACTGAGAAAAGGTACCAAGCTAAACATAGATAAGAATTATGGGTTAATCTAAGTTGTAAGAGATTGTTAGTAATAAATCTGAGCAATAGGCCAGACTGTTTATAATTAATATAAGCCTTTGTGTGTTTATTTGGCAGTGAACAGCTGCAGGACAGGGAGGGACAGAAACTTCCATCTACAGGACCTATGGGGACAGTGCTATCCAACAGAAACAGTGCAAATCACAGAATCAGTTTCAGATATCCCAGAGCACATGTACAAAGAGAAAAAAGAGGCGACGAATTGACTAATTTTACTGATTTTTAACCCAAATTAAGATTGTCAATGAACAATGGGATATTTTACATTCTTTTATAACACCTAGTCTTGGAAATCTGATATAAATTTTACCTTTTTTCCTTCCTTCCTTTTTTTTTCACATCTCAATTTGTACTATTTACATTTCAAGCTTTGTAGTCACATGTAGCTGGTGGTGACTGTTTTTGAAAACAAGTAATCCCCATCCCCATGATACAGCTTAAGTTTAGTTTGTTTTGAAAGGATGGATTCTCAGAGTATCTGCAGTAGGAGAAGAGAATGTTTATTTATTATCAAATGACATCTAAAATCAAGTCATTATTATCTTCAGAGTTAAAATATTTACTAGGAGAATTTGGATAAATGGTTTTCTCAGCTTTGAAAAAGAAAGAAACCACAGAGGGAAAAAGTAGATTTAGTATTATAAAATAAAACATTTTGGATGGTGAAAAAGTTAGAATAATCATTAAAAGGGACACTCCAGAAATTGAGGAATATATTTGCCTCTTCACAGATTTTAATGAATATCTACACAATATTAAAAAACTCATTCAAATACAGAAATCAAATTCATACCTTATTTGATTCTGAGATATTTAACAGGGAAAGCAAATAATGAATAGAATGTATCATCTGTCTATTTGTTAAATGAATTCAAACCAAATCATTGTTAAATCAAGGCAATACTTTATACTTATTAATGAAGCTATCATGATAATACTGATAAAATTATAGTACAAAGAATACATAGACAAAGTCCTTTAGAAATGCAACATGACACAATAGCACCGGAGGCTTAAATGGTTCCCATTTTCTCACTGTAGTCCCATTTCTTACATACCAAGGACACAGTCCATTAAAAGAGAAGACAAATGTTTTAAAGTATTCATTTCCACTTGTCACTAATAGTGAAAAATTGAGAAGTAATTAGGCAAATGATACCAGATCACCTTAATGTACTGTGATGCAGTCTCCAGAGTGGCAATTATGAAGGTTAGATGGAAAAATGTTTAAAGTATACTAAATGGAACATAAGAATGTAGAACTTTTAAGTATCCATTTATGATGGCAGTATGACTCTATACAGGTGGACAAAGATCAGGATGGGATTATATAAAAATCGGAATGATTGTTTAAAAGGTGGAGGGACTATGGTATGAACTAAGTTTATAAATATATTAGTAACACAAATGAGTATAATCAACAGTGCTTGAAAAAGTGCAGGTGCACTTATACTGATGGAAGACAAGATAGCCAAAGGATCATAGGTGGAGACTTTGACAATAGAGGATCAGCCTTTGAGATCCCTCAGTCCCAGAAGCAGAACATCTGAGTACCCCACGAGATGTCATAGTGGCCTTGTAGGCAGCAGCAGGCAGCATTAGAATTTATCACCAAGTTGAAGCCAGGGTATGGGCAGAGGTTTGGCAACTCACTTCTTACTCTTATGGACCACAGAGCTCTGAAATGTACTTAAAAGATTAATTTTTTTGTATATTCCTTCCTTCTTACTATAACCAAGTACAGCAGGCTATAGGAAATAGGACAGGCAGGTTTCAGTCTCTCAGTGGGTCTATCTTGTAGCCTGTGGGTCATATGTGCCCCAGTATCACTATGAATACAGTCCAACATGCAATAAACATTAGCAGTGTGTGTGTGTGTGTGTGTGTGTGACATTTTATTTTGTAACTTGGTTATGTGGTTATTGAACATGAACGTTGAGATGACAATGTCATACTACAATGTGAAAAGGTTGGACACCCATTTGTTTCAAATCCTAAACACAGGGATTCATTTAGGAATAGGTACATAGTCCAGTGCTGGCCAGGGACAATCAAACCTAGGACCTTTATTTAATTCCTGGGGAGAAAAGCTCTGGCTTCCACTTAGAAGTAAAACATAGAGACCCTGCAGATATCTTATTCCCACAAGAGGCATCATTGTTTGGAAGTGAATTAAGTAGAGCAAAGCTCATCTTTGGAATGCACCGACATGATGATCTGTAATCTTGTTGTCTTGACATTTCGCATTTGATGATCAGGATGGTGATGGTCTCTGCTGATCTTAAGGTAATGCATGCCTCTTGTCCAGCCCCAGCCTGCCTTATGCTCTTTCTTGTGTAAAAGCATTGAGGAGAACAAAAGAACATCATGGACTTTTGTGTATGCTTAGTATGGTAGAGAAGGGCCAGGAAAATGGATAGAAACACTGACTCCAAGGGAGAGTTCCATGGAGTGTCGTGATATGAGTCACACTCAAGGGCACCCAACACATAGATGCAATAGTACTAGAGGGAGTTGGAAAGGCTGATCATCTTGATTTGACCATTAACTATTGTATATATATATATATCTAATTACAATTGCACAAACATGTACAATTATATGCCAGTTAAAGAAAGGCTCAGTCAAAATCAGTAGACTGCATATACTTGAGCAATAAAGACCTAGCAAATACAATTAAAAATACTTCCACTTCTAGTACAAATTAAATCCATCTGTATTTTAGAAATTAAAAAACAGTAAGACATGAGTAAAACTTAAATGGAGAAAATTGAAATTGTAATTTTTATGGGAAGACATAAAAGAATGGAGAGGCAAGCTGCTACTAGATGGAAGGATAATAGTTTGTAAGGTACTCATTTCCCTTAAAATGAAGTTTGGTGAGATGTGGATATCACTTATTTTGAAGAATGCTTGCCGAGTGTGCAGAAGATCTCAGGTTTGGTTGCTACCAGCTGTGATGGTACAAGAGATAGAGGCCAGACTGGACTACATGGTAACCTTGTTTCAGAAGAAAAGATTATAGAAACAGCAATGAATTGACCAAATGCTTCCTAAAATAAATATAAAAGGGACAATGTGTAAGTTGAAAAGTGTGACATTGACTTTTAGAACCTAAATGGAAGACATGTCTCTAGAAGAATTCAGATATAGACCAGTTAAATATGGGACTGCAGTTAATGGGAAAGCAAGGGCTTTAGTAAGTGGAATAAAATTGAACACACAATAAATGATGCTGGGATTTTCATTTGGAAGAGAGTATAGATGAAATTTGTGGCATCATAGTTTGAGTATTATATCCTACAAAGAGAAATATATTCCTGATGTTAATAAACTAAGTGCAAGGAGTGCCATGATCACAAAAACCTATAGAATCTTTAGCAGAAAAACAAAGTAATATTTTGTAATCTTTAACAGTGAAGCCCTCCCTAAGATATTAAAGGTACACACTTGTATGGTGGGGAATATTAGTTGATGATATGTTACATTTGTTTATTCTGTGGGATAGTTACTTAATGATGCAAAGATCTGTTGTATTCTTTTTTGTTGCATTTGACTAAATTTGTAAAGTTGGATTATTTTGCCTGTCTAAAACACTTGATTGGTCTAAAAAAGAGCTGAACAGCCAATAGCTAGGCAGGAGGGGGATAGGTGGGGTTGCCAGACAGAGAGAATAAATAGAAGAAGAAAAAGGCAAAAAGCAGATGGAAAAATTTAAGCTAAGAAAAGCTGGCTAGAAACAAGCCAAGCTAAGACTGGGCATTCATAAGAAACAATAAGTTTCTGTGTATTTATTCGGGAGCTAGGTGGCGGCCCCCAAACAGTAAAAAATAACTAACAACACATGTGCACACATGTGCATTGTTTTGTAATAATTTTTTGATTTATATAAAAGTTGCAAAGACCTCCTGAAATTAACAACTAGTTTAACACAAAGGCATGAAGTTTGACCACCCAAAGTTAAAATATACACCCATTCTTTCTCACAGAGTACACAAAAGGCAAATTAGCAGAACTTATGTTGAGCTTAAGGGTTATTCTCTGGACAGACTGATAAATAGATCAGCATACTCAGCAGGCAGTATATTAATCATATCTAATAATGAGCACATATAATCAGAAGTGTAAATTGGGACCAAATATATGGGAAAAGAAAAAAAAGAACAGTTTAGAAAAGGAAGAAAAATTATGTTTGACACACTTGGGAAAATGAACCCAGGTAAAGTGATAGTTAGAAAAATCAAAGTGAAAATAAAGTAACAGTATTCATCTATTAGAAGGTTAAATAAAACCATTAAACCTGAAAACTTAGGGCTCTGGACATAGCTCAGTGGTAGAGCTCTTGTCTGGTGTGCACAGAGGTCTGGGTTCAATGTCTAGTATTAGAGGGAAAAATCAACAAACTGATAATACCAAACATGGGAAGATGTACTCATTTGTCTATCTTGTTGGAGAAAGTGTGTGAGTGTCCAGGATGTGTCGTAAAAGTTCAGAAGTTAAACCACAGTGCTGAGAGAAGATAGCTGGTGTGGTAGGCATGTTTCTACTCAAAGCACCTCAAGAGGCAGAGGCATGGGGTCAGGAGTTCAAGCCCAGCCTTAGTTGATAGTAGGATCGGTTCCTTTCTGCATTTAAAAAATATTGTATTTGTATTTGTGAATAAAGGAATGCAAAGTAACATATAGAGTACCCACCAAAGAATAGGGAAATGGATCATTTTGTTTTAATTTTTTTATTACATTTTTATGAATTCGTTGAGAATTTTGTACAATATATTTTGATCATATTCATCCCTCCATCTACTCTTCCTAGACTGTGTGCACTCATACATGCTAATATGTGCACCTGCACAAACAGGTGTGAAAGCCCCAGTTTAAAATAATGAGTACTGTTTTCCTTGTAAACCATCAATATATTCTTTAACAATATAATTTTGGAATAATAAGACGCATCCCCAAGGGCCTGGGGTGAGAAACCAAGTTCTGGTAGGAGTCATGCTGGGTTTGTTTCTTTTCTAACAGTGTGTCATCCACTTATTCATCCATCTTATGTCCTATTTGCAAGCAAGGAAACAAACAAAAAACCCAGAAATCCCAGCAGAATTCTGAAGATAGAATACAATTTAAATATTTGTCCTTTGTGGAACTGTTTTTGCAAATGTTGCCACTTGCAGTATCTTCCATATCATTTTAAAAACAATTTGCAAATGATTGATGTATTGTGGTCACCATTTTGTACTCTTGAAGGGAAAATGTTTTTTATCTTTTATTATTAATAATTAATTAAATTACAACCAATTTCCCCTCCTTCCTCTGCTCTTAGTTCTTCTCCCTCCCTTCCCCTCTGTTTCCCTGATCCACTCCTCCTGTTTCTATTCAGAGAAGAGAAGGTCTTCCATAGATATAAACATAGCATATCAAGTTAAAGGCTGTGTAAGGCAATCCATTATTAGGGAAAGGGTTCCAAAAGCCAGCAAAAGAATCAGAGACAGTCCCTGATTCCACGGTTAAGAGTTATGCAAGAAGACCAAGCTACACAATTGTGGCATATGTTCAGGGGGCCTAAGTCAGTCCCAGGCAGGCTCCCTGGTTGTTGGTTCAGTCTCTGTGAGCCCCTGTGATCCCAGGTAAGTCAATTCTGTGAGTTATCTTGTGTTGTCCTTGACCCCCCTGGCTCCTATAATCCATCCTCCGCCTCTTCTGGAGGATTCCCTGAGGTCCACCTAATGTTTGGCTGTGGGTCTCTGCATCTGTTTCCATCAGTTACTGGGTGAAGCCTCTCTGATGAGAATTGGCCTAGGCACAGATCCATGAGTATAGCAGAATATTATTAGGGATCATTTCATTATTGTTTTTCTTTGGTCAGTTGTGTTTGGTTCTGCCCTAGGTCTTTGGGCTGTGAAGCCTCTGAGTCCTGGCCTTCTAGGTAGTGCTGGGGGTAGGCTCCTCTCATGACATGGGTCTCAAGCTGGATCAGTTATTCCCCGAGATGCTCACCCCATTCTAGTTGTATCTCCCAGTACTCTCTGACTAATCCTCCCCCTACCCAATTCTTCCTGTTCCCATCCCCTTCTCAACCCACCATGTTGATTCTATTTACCTTTCCCTAGGAGATTCATATGTTCCCCCCTTGAGCTCTCCTTGTTACTTAGCTTCTCTGGGTCTGTGATTGTAGCATGATTATCCTTTACTTCACAGCTAATATCCACTTATAAGTGAGTACATAC